AAGTTTGGTGGTTGCTCACCAATCGCCATGTTTAAGCAGGTACCTAACGAGAATCTGTTAGATGTGTTGAACAGGGGGCAGCACTGGCAGCGGTGGCAGATGGCACCGACATGGCGCGCACGCAACGGCAACGGATGCTAAATATAGAGCCGGCGCTCCACCGCCCGCTCGCCTCTGATTCATGATACAAACCACGAAACCTAAAACTGAGCCATAATGCGCACAACGCTATCTTGGCTAAAATAAATACTACACACGAAACATAACAAGATTTCACGATATGAAGCAATATTTTTATACCATTGAAATGTTTCTAAACAAAATAGGCAGAAACTAAAGTACCTATATGTATACAATATTTATACTTAAGTAAGTACCTAAATGACCTGTCTAAAATATGTGTAACCGCGTGTGTCGTTAGAATATCTGTATAAATAAAACAAAGCTGATCTCTTTAAGACACGGTCATTAACATAAGATTTGAAGGCAGTCACATAACTATCCCATAAAAAATATTTCAATTAATGTTTAAGACAGACCTCAGAATATGCGACCACGAATAAAATATCGAAATAGTTGTTTCACGTCATTTTTCTGAGAAGTTATGTGTTCACTCCAGCCGGCTCATCCGTACTGATCTGTTTTAAATATCATAATTAATTTATCTCTCTCTATCATAATTATTTATGGTATGCACTTTGTGATTATTTAATAGGTACTTATTTCTCTTGGATTAACTAGAAAAATGCCACCCATACCATACACTATAATATGATCTTCTAAAAATAACATAAAGGTACAAAAAATAAGTATTCGTGAAAGCCGAGGGAAGGTTTAAAGTTACAACAGTCAGAAAAAAATGCATGTAACCAGCAGCAATTGTCTTTCCTATACAAACTGCTTTCAAAATGACAGATATTTGACATGGGAAACCATTGTTATTATGTATTTAAATTTTTGGGACGGTTCGGTTCGTTGGCTAGCCAAGCTCGTAATCTAACTTTACTAATTTAACAAATCGAAAGATTGTTATAGATAAAGCACTATTTACAAAAACCTACTTACACCATAAAAAACTTTATCGTGATAGCCTTCATAAGGTTAAGTCTTTTTTATCGAAATGAGGTTGCTCAATTTTATAGAACGAAAAAAAGTAAATTATTTGCAATTATTTAAATTGATTAATTATTAGAACAACATTCATAAAAATGTATGACCTATTTTCATTTTTATTTTATAAGGATGGTAAATTTACACCGTTTCAGCTACCTACGTTAGGATGAAATTAAAAAATAATTACAATTTGGACATTCATTATAACAAATCAAAGATTTTTGAAGTGCACATATACCTTATTACCCATCCCTGTTTGCATATTATGCAGAAGTGAAAATGCTTTAATCGATCCGCCTAAATGATATTAAATAAATAAATTATGATTACAATACATACATTGATGTTACATTATTATAATTAATGAGTGCGCGGACAGCGTGCGTAGCGCTTAGGCTATCGTCAGGCGACGCACGTAGTGTTATAGACTGGCTGGAAGGCAAATACAACACAGGCGCTGCTCGCACGAACTTGCCATAAGTATTGACTACTTGCTTAACTAAACAATTGTAGTTGTGTTTATTTTATCCTCATCTGAACAGAGGACAGTTTGCTTCAAACGCATTTATAAGGAAGTCTACACTACAAATCATACCATTGTTAATGCGAACGCTTCAGTCAAAAACAATAGGTGACATATATCAGAATAATGCACAGCGATCACCGACGTGCCGTCATTTATCAGCGATTCGTTACGGCAATCAATCCAGTCATGGATATTCAATCAATTCATTAAGCGAGCGCGCTGAATCATTAGAATAGGTGACAAGACTGGATGCTCACTAACACAGCGCGAGGCGGGAGCGGGACTTCTTGAATTGTGATTTCGGGCAATATCCTTTGTAGAAATCCTTACCAAGACTATGGATTTATAAACAATGCATATAATATAGTCGCAACATACAATGATAACTGTAGGCAATTGATACTTGCAAGCTTGCAAGCATGAATGAAACTAGGGGTTCATGTTGGTAATTCACCAACACCTACTGTTTCGGGCAAAAGTACATTCTCTCACGGAGAAGGGAAGAAAGAGCAACTACAACGCCTACTAGCGGACTAAACTTGTGGACACCACCACATAATGTGTAGGTACGGTAAAGGAAATCATCGAGACCCTGAAATATAACTATATTATTACTATGAGTATTATAAAACAAAGTCGCTTTTACACTCCCTACATTTATAAAATGATTGCTTAAATCTTCAAAACGACGCAACGAATTTTAATAGATACAGTGATTGAGAGGCAAATTTATGTGTTTGTAACCTCAACTAAATAGTGGACAAATTTAGTATCAGTATTGCACCCATGCCAAACCGGAACGGGTCGCTAATATAGTACCCATAATTTTGAAACCGCCAGCCGCCCGGTGTGCAAGAGTGGCAAAGGCTTAGGGCATCGGTTTCATATTATTATGTTCTTGCATGTCGTATCGCATGCAGTTACATACCCATGTATATAAAAATTCTTCTGTTTTCAATAAAATTCATAGAAAACTGTAGTTTTTGACATTGCAATAAATATGTGTAGTCAATTCTGAAACGACACATTAATTAATTTATTATGTACATGTATATCAGTATGTTGAGTTAATCTATAAGTGTGAAGATTGCAGTTGTTTTTAGTAAAGTAAGCGTGTGTGTGGGGCGCACCGCGACCGCGGCCGTCGACCAAAGGAAGTCCCCAATGAACAGGTCGCGTGACGGCACTCCACTAATGCGCTGCGTTACATCATTACTGGCCACTCTGGCCAAAGGAAATGATCCTCTTGAGACAGTGGCCCGTATCACTTCAATGAGAATAACATATTTTCATAAGTAAGCATCCTTTTCAGACAATATGTTGCCAAGTAGCAGGCAATGACAATAGCAGAATATGCCATTCTTAATTTGGCAGTGACAAATGGATGCTATGCAACGTTTTGTGGGTTTGATTTCCGCACGAAAAAATTGTGTGGTTCACTAATTGATATTAGGGGACGAGTGTCTATTTAAAAATCTTGAAGACGAACTTTGGGAGGCTTTTATTATCTGATTAGTTATAACTTAACACAGAAACATATCTAACAAAGTAAAAAAAAACGTAATCAAACATATCTGACAAAGTAAAATAAAATTCAAACGTAATCAGCCATTCCGCGGTTACAAATGGCACAGCTTGCACAATTCATGACTTTATATTGATGTTGACTTACAAACAGTCCATTTAGGTAAAAATGACAGGATGAATGTGCTATTTTATTAAATATATTTTACGTTCCGCATTAGAAATATTTCTCGACCCGTTTCTCCCGCGTAAAACTCCAGTTTGAAAGGTTTATGAAGTTGTAGTTTTTTGAATTAAATTGTTTTTTTAATAGACCAAGACTATTTTCTTGATAGATACTGGCTGTATCACGATGCAATGGCCGTGGCGGTGCACACCACATGCTATTTTCCTAATTATTTCTGAATATGGTTATTTGTTTAAACTCTATAGGGTATAAACACAAATATTCTACGCTAATTTTTTGTCTCTACAAACATATAATTATGAATTGAAGCTACCTAACCCAGATTCTAAATAGAAATCTATTATGTAATACAACTAAAGCTACATAAATGTTCACAGAAATAAATTCTTTTTAATTTACAATGTTGAAAGTTATTGCTATGCAGTTCTGGAGCATAAGAATTATAGATAAAAATATGCTATAGCGAACTATTTTGCCAATTTTGATAATTTGTTTAATATTGTAGTACATTGTTTTGCTCTATCTTACTTTGATTAGTAAAGATGCATAATGAATTTTGTTTTTACTATTAATATTTCCCTGATCTGATTTAACCAATTTTGATTATTGTAATGAGTGGATCACATGATGGTCAGCAATTGAAGACCCCAGGGCAGTTGAGGAGAGAGGGTGTACACGAATGGAGGACAAATTACAATGCAAGTGTTGTCATATTCTTCCCAAAGGCTGCAGTATCACTTTAGTACGGCCGGCCCATTATGCTGAAGCATGACTCCCAACACATACACTCTCTTAGTGTCACCTGTCCCTTGATTACATATATATGTATAAATCTAAATAATGAGACCATAATATTAAAAAAAAATACAGAGCATGTAACCTAAAATGGGTATAAGGTATATGGGACCTGGTAATAGATTTGCACCTATTTCTTTTGAATATGTTCATCCATGGCCAGAACTCACTCTCAGCACCCAGTTATATGTATACCCATAGGTTTCAAGACTGAGCCCTACAATGTATATGACATGAAGAAATGAATCTCATACATGATACTTCAGTGGGAGTAAGTTATATAAGTCTAGGGATAAGGACCATACATATTTTAGGATTGAAGATTTTATTGAATATGTGCAAGTCTCTTAATCTTGTAGACACATGAAACTAGGTGTGATACTTTGTCTTGAAACTATGTTTTATAGAATAATTCTAAACATAGCATCCTAATATTAAACAAAAGAATCTTGGAACTGGTTCTAACCAATATGTTATCCATGCTATTGTTACTTAATAAAACAATGCAACATCCTCCTAATTGACAATCGGTAGCTGTTATTGGTTTCAGTTTTTGTTTTGTTTATTTATCACCAGTTCTTTGGGCAATCTGTCTTCTTAAGCAAACAACTTACCTACCTCTTTGTTATTATATAGATATTAATATTAAATTCAATTACATCACTGAAATCCTGATGGAATGTTAACTTTTACTATTAGCTAACAATTTGTTTTAGGTGAAGCTACACTGTAATACAATAGCACATCCCTGTGACTATTTACGAGCAAACGCAACAAAGAGCTTCAGGGAGTACAAAAGCACTCTGTATCAAAACATTACCAGGTCAGCCCATCAGCGTCATCCTTAGTACTCACTGTTGAAGGCGGCTAGTTTCCTGGTGGAGCCGAGCCGCTTCATGGGCGTGCGCGGCTCGACATCGCGATCATCCAGCGCCGGCGCCTCGGTCGCCGTTGGCGTTGTAGCTTCTGACATCGCTCTTGTTAAATTGCACTGTTCTGTAGCACCATTCCACTAATAAATCGCGTTTATAAACTGCGAGAATTTTAAAAGTAATTCGAGCACATAATGTTCATAAAAACTCTGCTCTTTCTTTCTCTTACGTTTACGCTAAGCCCCAACAATTTGACTAACGAAACAAAAATAACATTAGTGTTCAAGTCAGTCCGCTGCACAAAACAAAAGTTCACTATACACTTCTATATTTTATTTACTTTCTTTATGAAAAGCTTAAAAAATGCACAACTTTATGTAGGAATATAAAATAAACTTCGTTGTAAAAACACATTTAAGTTAAATAAAAAAAATATTTGAATCATTTATGTTACTGGTGTATTCCGTTAACAATGTTAGCATTTTCGCTCCCACTCTAACACTCTGCTGTACTTTATCTCAAAGCACAACACTGTAGACTACAGCGTAACACAGTGTATAATTTATGCCACAGATGATAATAACCACAGTGACATTTGACAATTTAAAACTGAAATGAGTTTAGTGGACAAATTAAATAAAAAAAAGATTTAAAAGTACATTTGATGGATCATGGATGGAGCTATAAGTTGAATTTAAAGATTTAGAAAATGAACATTATCTTGAGAGAAAAAGCTTAGTGTGTGTGTGACATATTAACCATAAAGTAGTGGCGCTATATCGTAGACAGAGAATAGACACCTCTATTCTCTGTCTACGCTAGGTACGCGCTAAGTTTCGTTCGTTTGTTTGACAGTGCGGGAAGCAATTGGTGCATTTGCCCTACACAAATATCTCTTTTTTTACGAATCCATTCATCGATTCATCCTTCTTTCAACACATAGGTACTTTACATGACTTAAAAAAATCATTTCTCAACTCTGCGTTTTTGTAAATTTACATGGACCCTCAGAATAGGGTGAACTCATCTAATTTCGTGACAAAGGCATTTGAGTTACAAAATACCAGTAAATTATTGACTAATTTAATTCAGTGTCAGCATGACTTTTTTATCGGTCTTTTATGAGGAATATTAGCACAAATAATCAGATTTTTTTCTAGACCCCTAGGAGTTATACCGAATTTACTAAACCAAGTCAACTTGCCTAATTCCGTGGTGACCTCTATAAGTCCGTGATAGCTTATACTTTAATTCTGATATAACGGAATTAGGCAAGTAACTTTGAGAGCGGTCTCCGAATATTTTCTGTTCTTCTTGTTAGGGTCATCCATGGTATATCTGAGAGTGAATCTGCAATTTAAAATAATTAATACGTACCTACCTGCTAAGATTTTAGCGGCTGCCCAAAGTTGAGCTCATATTAATAAAAAAAAACTGTGAAATTTGGTAAATTACTCACGCAATTACGTGACAAGTCCAAAAACAAGTGTCAACTAATTCCGTGATAGCAAAATATAATATTGGCTCAAAGTCGTCAATTTAATTAAGAGCAGATAAACGTAATAAAATAACATCAATATTGTCTACTACACTCAAAATAAGTCAATAATTTTAGTTAAAACCACAAATATTTGTACATCTACCTACTATAATTCTGTGATAGCACAGAAACCACTCAACCGCTAAAACACTAATATTTTTGACGAACAAAATAAGCTCTAACACGAAAAAGACGCAGAACTTTGACGATTTTTTTACTGCCACATCAAGGGAATATCATATACAATGCATTTTATTCGAAAGAAGCTAAAAAATGGGTTAAATACTTATATACATGAAGCAAAGTTCGCATCCAATTCAAAACCACTGCTGAAACAGTCGAAATTCGCGCCCGAACTGACAAAACCGTTAGCTGTTTCTATCTCGCTCACTCGAGCATCCCCAAAATTTACATACGAATTCGAGATTAATTACTGAGGCTTAAGGTTGTATTTGAAATCTCTGATTTCACTCGTATAGCCCTATGATAGCGCTCAAACCAAATAATTATCACCGAATTAGGCGAGTCACAGAATTAGATGAGTTCACCCTACAGAACAAACCAGAAGGCGTCATCGCGCTTCAAACTGAAGCAACTAAAACCACTCTTAACTAGAGTAGAATGAAATTTCTACGATTAGTCAACTTCGGCACGTGGCATGTCGTGACGTATTTACGAGTGTCAATTTTAATTTTATTATGCCGTCTTGTGTTATTCCTACGTGTGAAAATGCGGCTGGAATTACGAAAAAAGTGGATAAGATTACATTTCATCTGCAAGCATCGACTGCAATAGTATATTTAATTAATTATTGAATTTTTTTATCGATTTATTTTTCTATGAAAATTATGCGGCCATTTTGTGAGTGTTGTCATTTTTGGTGAAAATTTTACCCACTTATTTATTTGTTGTGAGTTATATTTTTGTCCATTACGGAGCCTATGTCATATTAGTTTCCCTGCCGACTAACAAAAAAAAATAAATCATACAAAGAGCACGGTTAGATTAATTTTGGAAACCATCCAACCAGAGCATAGTTTGCTCAATTCACTTTGAAGAGATAATGTATTTATGATAAAAGTGGTTTCAAAACAGCATTTCCTACTAAGATATATCTATACTAATTATAATGCTGAAGAGTTTGTTTGTTTGTTTGCTTGAATGCGCTAATCACAAGAACTAAGTAAGTAGACTTCTAATCTTTAGTTCCGAGTCTAAAGACAATACATATAATAAATAAAAAAATTATTATTAAAAAAACAAAATACCCGACTGCACACTAAAAAAAGAGTAAAACAAGCCCCACAATACAAATTTACTGAATATAATTTATAAATGTTGATGGAAAGCATCGCAGGCGGGGACCAACAGAGGCATAATTATAGTCATTTCTGTTGTGCACCATTTAGCAGAATTTTCGTTGGTGGCGGTCAAGGTGGTCCCCGCCTGCGATGCTTTCCATCAACATTTATAAATTATATTCAGTAAATTTGTATTGTGGGGCTTGTTTTACTCTTTTTTTAGTGTGCAGTCGGGTATTTTGTTTTTTTAATAATAATTTTTTTATTTATAACTTTTTAGCTGTTTTTATTTAACGAAAATGTTGTAGATGTAGAAGACTATGTATATGTAAGTACCATTTTAAATTATTTCGACGACATTTGGCTTTAGATTACGAGTGATGTTACTCCGCAACATAAATTTACCGCCAATCTGGACTGTTGGTAGTGAAGAAGAAAAAGAATTAGGTGAGTCATTACTGCTGAAGATCCCGCAAACGTTTAAGTTCAGTTAAAGAACATTCGTCGTGGGGCCGGTCCAACAGCTTTTTTGGGTCAAGTGTTTTTATTGCTAACCCAGCAAGTGTTTTAACACGGCTTAGGGCTACATAAGCCTGGCCCTTTGCAAACACGTTTGATAGGTCCACGACAGCCCGATCCAAGGTGGTACCTTGCAGTTTGTGTACCGTCACAGCCCAACAAAGTATCAAAGGCATGCCAGGCCACGCCCTATCTTTTTGCTTGCTAACGCATGAGTTGCTTTGCGTTGACGCAGAATTAACATGTTCCCGTGGGAATTTTGAGAAAAAACGTATCCTATATTAATTACTCCCGTGATTGAAATGAATCTAATGATACCGCATACATATTTTTTTAAAGGGAAATTTAGAAAAAATATTATTATGTCTTTATCCCGTGGGACTTTTAGCATAAAATGTATCCTATGACACTCCCGTAATCAAGACAAATCTAACGATACCTCATACATCAAAATCCATCAAGCCGTTTAGGCTACAGGAGGTCACAAAGGAAAAGACATACATACATACTTACATACACTCGAAAAACATTACCCTCCTTCTTTGGCAGTCGGGTAAAAACTAAACCAGCAAAAGGGAACGCAATAAAACCTTCGCACTTATTGTAGCTTTGTTTTATTTGTTGTGTAAAGTAGGTGTAACTAAAATTAACATTAACATTTATAGTAAGTTTACCTATTTTTGTTGGGTTTACCCAACAAAACTATATCTTACCCTCTTGTTGTAAAATTACCCCAAACCAAGGGAATTGTTCCACTATCGGCAACACTACGCGGGTGGGAAGTGCGGCTGGCGGGGGGATTGACGTATTGTTTTTGGACACATTTGACGACATGTAATTATGAGTGAACGCGGATTCTGGTTTGTTCTGTATTCTGAGCATGGACCTTGTTGTAAGTAGTTTAATATTTTAGGGTCTGTTCACACAGACCGGCTCGGAGAGCATCGGCGCGCATTTTTCTTTTCACACAGACCGGATCGTATACGCTTGGAGTTGGTCGGAGCGGAGTCGTCAACTATTCCACATAGACCGGCTAGAATCGGCCTGAAAGCGGATGCGCTCGGAGCCGATCGGATGTGCTCGCAGCCGGTCGGATACGCTCGCAGCCGGTCGGATGCGCTCGCAGCCGGTCGGATGCGCTCGGAGCCGGTCGGATGCGCTCGGAGCCGGGTGGATACACTGCAAAGGCAGTACCAGTATTCCACGCAGTCCAAGTTTTGTTTTCGGTGTTAACGTGTGCTTTTCGGAACATGGATTTAGATAGCTCCGATGAAGAAATATATTTGCTAGCAAGATTGTTTGAAGCTGAACAAAACAAACGAAAGCGCAAGCGAAGACAAATATGGGCAAAAAATATTTGGAAGAATCGATTAATCCATGGGGAGTTTCACACCATTTTCGAGGAATTGAAGAATGACAGCCTTAAATTTTATGAGTATTATCGTATGGAATATTGGCAATTTTTAAAATTGACAGATTTGTTAAGAGTACATATAACAAAAACGACTACAAATTATCGTTGCACCATTCCAGCCGAAGAAAGATTAACGGTAACTTTAAGGTAAGTAAATAAAAAACAATCATTTATAATAATCATCTTATTCAGGTCACAAGATCACAGCCGAAGCTTTGTTAACGTATGTTGCCGTTATTGTCCTGATTGATTGAAATATCAAATATTAGACAGTAAAAGAAACAGTTATTAAACTAAACATTGCTTAAAATTAAATGGTTAAAGTTAAAGATTACACCTAATTGAATGGCTGAATGTAATTAAATAGTGCAGATTTGACTTTCATTATTTTGATTGTCTGTGTTTATTAATTATTTTGTATTTTGTGTGTTTGTACTGTACCCGTAAGTAGTCTGATCTGGATAGTTTTGACAAATATAGGTTTCGTTTGATAACTGATGGTAAGTAGATGGATTAGAGGATGGCGGAGAATTTATTGGCAAAGAATAATTCAAATCTGCACTATTTTCATACAGACTCAATTCAGCTTCGTTAACAATGTCAAAAACGCGCTTTTTAATTCGTGCTTGAACTTCTTTTGGAAACGTTTCCACTGTATCTGACATAGACAAAAAAAAATTGCGTAATGCCTTGTCAAAGGGTTTAGTATTTTTTTTTTCTTCAAGATATTCTTCGAAAACCGTAGCAACATCTTTGTTT